TGAAACCCATCAGTACCCTTTTGAACAACAATCAAATGATACTGCGCACGCATTCCCAGTCTAACCACTCGTCATTTCGGCTTGACTGCACGTTCTGCTGTGCTGGGTGATCCAGGGCCTCCTTTCACAAAGCACTAAGGTGATCGTAAGTCACTAAGGTAACCTTAGTGCAGTGTTAAAGAATGGGAGTTAAGGTTAACCTTAGTAAAGGTTGCTTCGTGAAAAGAGCCCCAGGTTAACAAAACTGCCCCAGAAGAGTTTGGGAGATCCGTTATATGTTCAGAACGTTTGTGCAGCTTGATGTAAAACACTGACTAATATGTTGCGCTTTTCTCAAGTGATTACTTCAGATGTGTCTATTGTGGCAATGCATACAACCCAGGCCTTTGTAACTTCCTCTTGTTGGGAGGCAATCTGTGTGATCTTGATTACATGTCCCGTTTGATATCTCATGATCTTAACTATCATGAATAAAGATACATCAACGAGTGAAGGGGTCAGCAATATTTCCATCAAACAGTCTTCGAATATAAGAAACACATATGTACAAATGATCTCATGAAAACATTATGTACATATATATGTACGAAGCGTAAGTTGTTGAAATATAGAAACCATTCTAACTGGTTGACGTGTTATCATTTTACATATCAGTTTTCCTAATATTCTCGGTGTCCTTAAAGTAATCCCACAATGGACGAAGGACATCCATAATAACAGGCTTCGACCTTTTCACTCATGACTTAGCATGTAAATAGTTAGCATGCAAGTTATTCACGCTCCAGTGGGTGCCGTTCGCGTTAACACTTGGCCATGAAAAAGGAGTCGTGAAAGTACAGGTATTTAATTCGTCAGAGATGGGTAAGATCACACATAATTACGAAAATGACCGATTGAAGAGTTCGATACAATTTGAAACGCTCTGTTCTTGCTCACATTTTACCACAAACACACTGGCATGATGAGTCTATTGGATCTTAACTTGTTTACTGACAGACAGCCGTCATTTTCCTGGAATATTGATGGATTGCGCTTTGAAAACGTTTGCCTCAGGAGAACATGTTTTCGGTTATATTTTAACATGCACTCACAAGTCACATGCGTTTGATAGATTGTCAGATGAATCATATTATACATGGCTGTTGTAATTAGATTCAGCAATTATGGAGCATGATAGAACATGCATCACAGACCCAAACCATTCTACAGCATTCATCGCCAAGGTGTGACCTCTCCATCTAACCATCTATCGCAGTGGAGCAGATTACATCAACAGAAGTGCATATCTCCGACATTCTGTCTCCAGAATTAACAATATTGCATGTTCACAGACAAACGTAATTCAAAACTTCCAGTTATGATATTTGCAATCTGTGATTATAATGTTAAGACAACAAGATTCCATTAGTAATCAACAGATAGAGACATTATTCGGTTGAAGTGTCAGTATTAAATCTGAGTTATTATCAATAATAGCAGTACTGCTACAGCATCGGAGTAATAGTTTTATTAGAACAATCCAAAGGGTTCATGCATTTGCTTCTTGAAGCGTATTGCATTATATGTGTATGTTCTTTATCCCAATAGCTTTCAGGGTAATTAGTGGTTTGCTCGATAAACGTTGGGAAGATATTCAGTGACCTTGATATGTAGAGTATAACTTTGGGGGAAAGCGGTTAGCCCGACGTGTTTCAATCATGATATGAACGCGAGCCTTTCACCTTAAGTTTCAATTTGTTTAACTGTATGACGTGGATCCAATATTAAACAGTTCTGGACGAGCCAATCCAGTTACTGACATCATCAGCTTCGTCATAGTCAAGTTGGATATAATGGCATGAAATCAAGTAACTCATCGTGCCTGGCAACCCACTAACACAGATCGGATACGCCGCACTCAGCAATATTCCAGCTATATGGCGGCGGTCTGTAAAAAATCGAGTCTGGACAAGACAATCCAGTGATGATAAGTATTAGCATCGATCTGCGCAGTTGGGAACTGATTACATGTGTCAACCAAGTCAGCGAGCCTGACCACCGACCCCGCTAGTCCCCTCTTATGACAAGCAGGGTTACTGAAGATCAATATTCTAACCCGGACCTTCACGGGTCCAATCCAGTCACTGACATCATGAGCTTCGTCATAGGCAATTTAGATATAATGGCATGAAATCAAGTAAATCATCGTGTCTGGCAACCCACTAGAAACTATATTACGACCGTACTTCCTTTCATTCGTTTCATATCTAGAATATAAAACAACAGTGCATACATATTAAAACAGCTAAACATGGTACTCATTAGCTGACAACGAGCTAATCCATGTAACGAGAAGCTATGGCTTTGGGCAATAATGGCGTAGCAACTATATAATATAAATAATATAGGAACATCAACACGATCCATTCCTTTTTCAATAAAACATGTCGATCAAGAAACCAATTATACCATTTAGCTTACACTCTAAAAATCTGCTGTTATTGTGACTGTTTAAGGTTCATTTTCCTTATAAGTGTAAATCACTGCTTGAGAATTGGAAAGTTTACATTCCTGAGGCCACTATTTCAATACAAATGGAAATTATAATAATCAAGTCCTCCCATATGGGCAAATCATTTTTTATCTAACTTCATTGCAATTAATATCGGACAGATTATTCTTTCATTTCACAAATATAGAAGTTGATCCTGTAAAATTGGTTGGCTATTTCCAGTTTCAAAGAACATTAATGTAGATAATCAACGGTCATTTGAACGTATTGAGCAAGATATTTCTTTATTTACAACGAAAAACAGACACGTGTTTCACGTCGGTGCATTCGTGACGGATAAAGTAACAGAAGAATTCACCTTTGAAGCACTCACATGAAAGGCTATCTTAGAAGAAGTTGTTATCCATTAAGTCGCATACTTTATTTTTAACTCACCACCTTCTAAAATGCCGAGCAAAATTTAAATTCGTTCTACTTGCATTTTGAATTGCGACTGTGACGATTCAGCCGTGCGTGACATTTCAATTCATAAGATCCTAAATTTCCATGTCAGGAACCAAATGAGATAATGGAGATGTTCCAAGGTTTCCCTATTTCTATCTGTACTTCAATGCGTGAGTGTTATTTTAACAATGTTTCATGAATATTACTGAAATATATCCACTAATATACCAATTTAATAAACTTTGTTTTTGCTGTAAAGATTTTGTGTTAATGTGCATGAACGTACAGCACATTTAAAAATAATTTGTCCAGATCACATCGAGGAACAGAAGACTGAATTTCACATTTTACATTTACATAGGGAATCGAACCTCGAACGTACGTCTGACGAGACAACACTTTAACCGTAAGGCCACAGCACCATCCCTATAACAGCTAATAAAGTATATATCTCAGCTGCAAAACATATACTAAACATGTAATTCCTGAAAAATCACTGAACTGAACTTTTATTTCAACTCAGGCTGCAGACAGCGGCATATGAGGTTACATATGCACATGGGTTCCCCTGTACCCCAACCCCAGTGGCAGACCCCATCCCTCTGGATCCGCTACTATGTATCAGACATGATTCCCATATTTAAGATACTAATCAGCAAGAAGGAACACACTGTTGGTGCCCATGGAGGTACTGGCCTCTTGCCTAAAGGTGGAGTCAGTATACTTTTTACAGCTTCGAGGAAGTCCATCATTAGTCCGCCAGAAGACACCCTCGCTTTCTAGAGTGAGTGAGTTTAGTTTTATGCCGCACTCAGTAATAGTCCAGCTATATGGCGGCGGTCTGTAAATAATCAAGTCTGGACCAGACAATCCAGTGATCAAGAGCATGAGCATCGATATACTCAAGTGGGATACGGTGACATGTCAACCAAGTCAGTGAGCCTGACCACCCGATCCCATTAGTCGCCTCTTACAACCAGCATTGGTTACTGAAGATCAATTCTAACCCGGATCTTCACGAGTCTCGCTTTCTAGAACGAACAAGGCCGCAACTCTGCACCACGAATTGCCCCACAACACATCACCGACATATCTGCAGCATGACCGAATACAGTGCAAACACAGATGGGTCAACTCATAGGAGAGATGTGTCGGGTCGTATCGTCCCCTACCGTCTTGAAGCTTATCTACTGACGGGTCAGTATGTGGGACGAAGCGTACTGGATAAATATATTCATGCTGTGGCTTAAAGTCTGAAAACACTAGCTCTACATCAAGCACACGGAAATACCTCTGTATTCTCTTCTCATCAATACCCAAAACAGGCGATCAAACAACTGATCTTTCATTAACTGTACAGACATACTGACCTACCCGGAGGTAAATAGTTGTAGGCAACAACTAGGTCATGATGACATGCATGTCGCGCTTATCTTTCCATTGGGTAGCAACAGCATTGTTTGTGTTGGGGATAGAAGTGCATGCATGCAGGTGTGGTATATCCCATAAACCTTGTTCAATGTGACTTTGACATTAACCAACAACAGAAATTTAACTCCTTTCTCAAGACGTATTACCCCTGAGGATTATAGTTTTGGGTTAACGAATTGTCTCAGTTCAACAAGATGAACCGAGCTTGTTGGAAGCTATTAGTGAGTGAGTGAATTTGGTTTTACGCCGATTTTAGCAATATTCCAGCAATATCACGGCGGGGGGACACCAGAAACAGGCTTCACACATTGTACCCATGTGAGGAATCGAACCCGGGCCTTCAGCGTGACGAGCAGACACTTTAACCGTTAGACTAGCCCACCACTCCTGGAAGCCACTTATGATCAGACAGTTGCTAGTACAGACTATACGTGACATTGGATGCAGGGGAGTTTAGATGGGTTAGGATGTTTGTGTGCCTCAACCCTGCTTACAGATAAATACTTAGCCATGTCATCTTCTGCTCCAATCACGTCACTGCATGATAAAAGTGCATTGGGTGACCTGCATAAAGCGTTTGTATTTAAGTACTTAAAGCTCCACTGTAACACACACACGGGTGCGACCTCGTACCTTGTGGTAACTTAAAAGGTGAATATCCGATAACAGAGCCTCCAGGGTCTATCACAACCCTCCAGGGTCTTATCACCTTGTGGTAACTTCAAAGGTGAATATCTGATAACAGAGCCTCCAGGGTCTATCACAACTACATCATGGCTGCTGTCGTTCCGAAGTACTCTGTGAGGAGGGCAACGCGATCTGATGTAGCCGCCATAAAGAAATTAACAGACATTGAGGAATGGGGAATTCCCACAGACTTCATGTACTGTTCGTTTGACATGGACTCTAGGGCCTGGTTTGTGGCGGAGTCCGACTCGGGAGAAATACTAGGTAAGTGTCAGTGCACTATGACACAACCAATGCCATTTCTGGTCCTAAGTATAGCAGGCTAAGGGGCAAGGGTGTTTCTTTCTTCTTATTTTTGAAACACTGGGGCGCCATCTGTTAAATTATTCTGTATCTGCTTTTATTTATCTCCTCAATTCAAGAGATGATGATGTCATATTAATAGTGGCTGCATGTGACAGAAATGAATTTGTTCTTAGAAATAAACTAATAAATATTTGCATGTATCCGATTATGTAAAACTACCTCAGTGTAACTCATTTGTATGTGAATCGGAAACCATTCAATAAATATCTCGACTTGACCTGACTCACCCACTGTGAGTGGGTTTAGTTTTATGCCGCTTTAAGCAATATTCCAGCCTAGTGGTTAAAGTGGTCGCTCGTCACGCCGAAGACCTGGGTTCGACTCCCCACATGGGTACTATATGTGAAGCCCATTTCTGGTGTACCCGTGATATTTGCTGGAATATTGCTAAAACGGCATACAACTAAACTCACTCACTCACTATTAATCAGGTCTGCAACATAAAACCTTGACAGACATCAAGATCAGTCTCCCACAAAGCCAGGGTACAACTCAAATGATAAGCATTGGCTGCTAAATTCTAACAAAAAATCCCAATGGAGTATAGTTTTACGCCGCTTTTAGCAATATTTCAGCAATATCACAGCGGGGGAAACCAGAAATGGGTTTCCTACATGTGGGAAATCGAACCAGGGTCTTCGGCGTGAAGAGCGAACGCTTTACCCACTAACCTACAAACCAACCTAAAAGTTCAGACTTTTCAATAATTCTTATGCCTATCTATCAGTTTGCATTTTGATTACTTTAACAGCTTGCCGTGCCTTGGTGTACTTTACGGAGGAGACAGTAGCTGGCGGCATTTATATCGTCAGGAAAGACCTCAGAGGCAAAGGAATCGGACGTGATGTGAACGTGCAATCCCTCAAGGCAGTGGGTGATGCCAACATCACCATAACAGCTACCTTCGTTAATCTGTACGAAACCCGTGGCTTCACGTTCTACTATGACGTACACCTGAAACGAGGATCAGCGGAAGTAATACTGGGAGCAATTCCGGAAGCGGAAGTGAGTCCGGATATCAGAATACTTCCATACGAAAGTGCCATGTTCACTGAGCTGAGGGCATACGACGAAGCTGTATGTGAAACCGAGAGGTGTTACTATTTCAAAAACTGGATCATCGGTCATGCAAAATATATTCTCATTGCTCGCTCCAATACCGGACGTGTATTAGGATATGGACGATTGGCTGTGACAGAACACGGCCATGTGATTGCACCGTTGTATGCTGATAGTGACGTCATAGCGATGACACTGTTGAAAAGACTCTTGCAACAGGTGATTCCGAGCGATTCTGTCACTATGTTTATCACTTCCGAATCCAAAGCAATGATGGAGATTAATCGCAAAGTTTCTCTAACAAATGTTGATACGCTTCATAAAATGTACACTAAAAAGCGAGTGCCCCAAACACCTGAGCGGTTGTATTCCTTATCTGCCATGGGGTTGTCCACCGCCTAATGCACTCCCACACTCCACTGTATCGCTACACCACGAACCTTTGGGTTTCAACAAATGAACATAAAATTTAATGATCAGATTTTAACGTTAAGCGTGAAACTTATGAGGCAATTTCATGCTTACAGCGTCTGCCCGTAGAGTGGAAGGTTGCGGGTTCGATCCCCGACCGCGTCATACCAAAATACGTTAAAATATGGTACTTGTTGGTCCCTGCCTGGCGCTCGGCATTAATGGGTACAACAAGGACTGGTCGGCTCGGAGTATAATGTGTCCGAGTGGGGTATTCATGCTTCACTGCGGCATGGTATCTCAGTGGGCTAGCACTATAAAACCAGCTAAAGTCTGGGCTAGTACAAGCAGCCGCACATACACATACACACGCATGTACGTTGTCATATGAGCGAAATATTCTCAAGCACGACGTAAAACCCAATTTAACCTCACCTCACCTCACCTCACCTCACCTCACCTCACCTCACCTCACCTCACCTCACTTCACCTCACCTCATGCTTACAACATGCAGTTACTAGCAAAAATAAACTTTCTGAACATTCTGGAGCTGATATCTAGTTAGCATGTAATTACAATTACTGGAAATATATTGCAAATATATTTCACTGGTGGTGAGATTTGATCAGAAAATACGTCTCTATGCACAGTGTATGGATGCCATGTTCGACTACTACAGGTCTGTGTGGATGTGAAGAGACATTTGCTTGAAGGCTTCAAGACTTTATACATTAGGAGTGAATATTTCAATAGATGTGCTTCACTATGTTAGAAACGATATACAAGGCAAACTCAGCAATATTCCAGCTGTATGGTGGTTGCATGATAGCTCTTCTTGGTGTTTACGTCAAAATATTCTCAATGACATTTATTCGAATGGACATATGTAAACCCTATTTTTTTCGCTTGACCTTACGTAAGGCTTATAAACAGGCATATGTTGCATGACTGAAATAAATACTAACCCACGAAATATAGTGTATGGTGTTGTTGTTTTACAGAATTGTCGAAGGTTTGTCGTTTCAAAGAGTTAAAAACTGATAACATGGAAGAGCAACTCCATCACTCTGGTTCGTAACAACAGTTGTTCCATCGTTGTTCACTTAAACAGGCTATACCCTTGGACTCTCTGCAGTAAAGGGGCGAGCCTTTGAAACGACTTGTTCGTATATGTTGCTTTGTTTCTAGCCAATGCTTGTCATAAGAAGCGGTTATTTTTATCAGCCCAATGTAGAAGGTTACTCTCAACCCATTTTCTCCTTCTGGTTGAATAACCGTCAACTTTATCCTCCTCTACAAATCTTGATAAGAAAAGGTGCGCCTCTTCACGAAACAAAACATGCCATACCAACACAAAGGCTTGCATGAGTATGGTTGAACGTAGACCTATCTCACTATTAATCATTCCACTCTAACTGACCTTCGATGGAGGTAACTGAAAATTTGTTCACCACCATAAGGATGGCATGTAGCAAATGTCATCTAGTGACTGTCAACACTTCTTGAGTTGTACACATAATGGCTGTCAGACCGGCAAAAGCGATACCGAGGGAATGGGACCAGGCAATGTAAGTTCATCTTCAGGTATATCAATATGATACAGTAGAGAATTGACAGTTCCCTTACCACTGATTTACTTAAAGGGAAAGAAGACAAAAGGTATATACATTGTATTATATATATATATATACATGTATATATATATACATATATATATACATATATATACATATATATATATATATATATATATATATATCTGTAACACATATCCATATAGTTATGTACAATATCTAATACAGATGAATAACAAAACATTCTATATATATACATACATACATACACACACATACACACATATACCTATATGCAAATAGATTGCATTACGAATAAAGTGAATATATAATTCATATATCTACATGTAGTAGATGGAATATTCTTACCGACGATTCTTAAAAACATTTATAATACTACTACAGAATAAAGCGAGTTTTCTAGAATACCTATCTTATTGCTATTGATTAATGTATACATTTTATTAAAATTTGGTCTTGTATAAAAATATGGCTTTAAATATTTAACTCTTGCATTTAGAAAGTGAGAACAAATAAATAAGTAATGAAATTCGTCGCCATTGTCGCTACCGTTACAAAGTTTACATAATTTATCCCGTTTTTAAATATTGCACCAACGGCCTGCGTGTTACGACGTAACTTGTAATAAAAACGCAAATTGTAATACTTGCAGTAAATTGTAATAAACTTGACGTAAATTGTAATAAAAACGTAAATTGTAATAAAAATTGACGTAAATTGTAATACGCAAATTGTAATAAAAATTGACGTAAATTGTAATAATTTTCGTTGCGGTAAAATGTAATAAATATTTACGTAAATTGTAATAACAGTTTTAATTACTCGTAAACACGCAGGTGTTTGTTTTTCGTTGCATTTCATACATCAAATAAGCTTGTTAGGGCGATAACTCAAGAAAGAAATGGTGGATTTTGTTCAAATTTGGTACCAAGGTATATTGGCGAGATTCACCGACACAAGTGAAATGGAGTGACCTTGGGATAATTTTCAAGGTCACAGCAAAAATCTGAGGGTTTTGCCAATATAAAGATTGTTAGCGCGATAACCCAGGAATGAATTGACAAATATTAGCTAAACGACGAAAATGATATTCGTCCTGATATATAATCGATATAAACTGTCCTCTGTATCATTTCTTTTCGTAAATATCTTTTGAGGTTTTGATATGTATACATATAAAGTGGGAGTGGGGTAGGGGTGGGTTTCTAACGGGTATATCTAACACACTTGCATGCATGTAGAGTCGGAGAGGTGGGTGGGTGTTCTAACGGGTAGACGAGGGACGTTCAAATAGTAGTCAGCCTCACCTAGCTGAATATGATACAAATGCAGATGTTTTTATGTTTTATTTTTCTACATATTATCTGTCAGCCTCAAGCAAATTGGTTTTGCTATGTTGCAGCCTCACGATCCCCATTTTGTGAGACTTTGTATATTGGCTTGGTACTCCCAAAAAACGTAAAATCTGCAATAAAATGCATCACAAACTTCAGGAAGCAAAATATGCTATGTTTGAGATTGGTAGAAGTCGGCTAGAATCAAACTTAGATATTAAACCGCACAAAAAAGCAATTTCAAAACTACAATCGCTTGTTCCAATGACTTCCCATTCTGTTTACTGAAAGAACTCGAGGAAGAAATGATGGATTTTGTTCAAATTTGGTACCAAGGTTTATTGACTGTAGATTGGAGATTTACCGACACCACTTGAATTTAGTGACCTAGAGGTCATTTTAAAGGTCACAGCGAAGGTGTAACAGTTTTGCACATAACAAGCTTGGTAGCCGCGAACTCAGGAAAGTATTAATAGATTTTGATCCAATTTTATATCAAGGTGTATTGGCGGGATTCCCCCAACACCAATTGATTGGGAAACTTGTGCTCATTTTAAGTTCACAGTGAAAAGTGTTTTGCACATGTCTAACTTTTTAGTGCTAAAATACAAGACAGAATTAATATGTTTTGCTTAAAGGTAGTACCAAGATGCGTTGGGAGTATCGTCTAACGCCAGTCGAATTCAGTGACCTTCGGATTATTTTCAAGGTCACAGCGAGTATTCTTGCGATATCTCCAAACCTAATGGATGGAATTTGTTCGCATATTGTATCAAGGCATCAGATGAAAGTTTCGGTAACGTTTAGGTGTTTAGGTTTTTCAGGGTCAGACAGAGGATAATTGCGACATTCAGATATCGACATGTGGCGGGGGGTAATAGCTATGTTTGTGACAAACGCTTTGTCATTACTAATTTTCAATTTTTTGTTAACATATGGTTTCTATAATTTCATGTTAATTCTACCAGCTGTGAAATTATTCGTGACACGTCTTAAAAAAAGCCAGAGATTATTTGTGTATGTTTCGAAAATTAAAGTTAATTGTTTTTCATTATGGAGTTATTTTCGATGTTGACGCAAGGACATATTTTACGAGCAATAGCTTTCAATAATTTAATGTTATTTCTATTACATTTTGAAGTTCTTCATAGCATATCCCAAAATAACAGGATATTGTTTGTTTACGCTTTGAAATGTACGTTTCTTCTTCTTCATTTTCGAATTATTTTCAATGTTGACGCAAGGATATATTTGAAGTCAATCTTATGTTTTGATCATATGTGATTTATTATGATGTATGTTTCGGTCATACATTCATATATTGTGTTGTCATAGTTTAACCTGGTTCGTATTATTTTCTTCATCATATTACTACATATTATTGTATTTTTATGAGAGGGAATTTTAAGTTACATTTGCTAAGGATATCATAAATCGCTAGCGCCTGGTTATTCCTTGCCACATAGCAGTCAATCTGTCTACTCATTTGTTGTATTTGATTGATGCATTTAAAATAAAATGTAGAAATGATACTGAATTGCATCATTTGCTTCAAGGAATCGATCAGATGTGCTCGTTATCAAAGTGAGTCAAAATTTCTTTCTGTAAGGTATACAGTGGAAGTTGACACCTTAATTGTTATGGGTAGACCAAGAAATCATTTATTTAGTTTCACCGCTCAAAATACAACAAAGAATTCAACGGATGGCATTAACCTCAAAGAATGATAATAACAATGCTTATAACATACGAGGGCAAACATATCGGGGATAATTTGTTTTCATACGATATGCACCGGGTAAAATATCACTTTGTCATGGTGTCATGACATCGTGAACAATGTTATGACGTCACGTTGCTTCTAAGAAGCCGCCTTCTAAATACAACGATGACGGGGAGCCTGCCTTTGTTGGAAAGTAGATTATCGCGTAATTTCCGCAATTAAAGACTTAATAAGACTTAAAGACGGTAATAAATAGAAAATTATATTCGTGACCATAATATGCTATGTTAACGACCTAAATATCGGCATATCCCTTCTCTGGTTCCGAAAATACCAAGATTTAGGCAGTTGTGTTGTAAACTGATATTTATCTTCTATGAAGTCGGCTATATTCAAACCATGAGAAATGTCGTCAAATAATGTCTGATGACAGTTACCAACGTCTCAATAGTGTCCATATATTTTAGAAATCTATAACAATATAAAAGCACAACCTCACTACTTTTTTTGATAAATGACAAAGGATTAATCAACCATATTGAAAGGTTTTCAGGCTTGAAGGACGAAGCTCATTAAAATCTATTGCCAGCTCCCTTTTAGAGACTGATAAAAGGTTCGAAATTGTGGGTCATAAATGCATGAAAGTTTTTATTGTTGTTCATACCCGTTAGGCCTCCCGCCTCTACATGTATTTGAGATATAACCGTTAGAACCACCACCACCCCCTCTATGTCTTAAAGTAGATATAACCGTTAGAACACACCACACCACTTTTCTGCCCATTTATTCAATTGGGCTAAATCATAGTTGAGAGTTGCTTCTACGGATTATACATATTTTCCCGCAACATCGATTGATGTGTCATCGGGCAACATTATTGTGATATTTTGTAAATTTCCAGGTAAATCATTGATATATACAAGGAACACAAATTAACCAAGGGCAGATGCTTGAGGAACCCCTGCAGTAACATTTAGTTTTTCATAATGTTCCATTAACAGAGACACACTGTCGTCTATCAGGGCCCGGTTGTTCAAAACTCGGTTATCTTTTAACCAGCCGTTAAGTACATTTAACCGACTGTTACCTAATAACAGAGGGTTATCTTGTTGTTCAAAACTCTGTTAACTTTTAACAGGCTGTTAACGTGACGTTAAGTTAACACACCTAAGGACCGCCGCGAACTTTTTAACAACGAACGTTCTGTTCCTGCTGCTACTGTAACTTAACTACTCACTGCTCATGCACAGATAAATTACAGTCATTAAAACTATGCTCCATTAATCGGACAATACCAAAGATGTAAAAACCCGTGAATTTC